GACTCATTTCGTCTAAAAAGCTGAGCAGACAACAATATAACGATTTGTTTCTTGACTCATTTCATCTAGAAAACTGAGTAGACAACAATATAACGATTTGTTTGTTGACTCATTTCGGCTAGAGAGCTGAGCAGACAACAATATAACGATTTGTTTGGTTGACTCACTCAGTCTAGACAGCTGAGCAGACAACAATATAGCGATTTGTTTGCTGACTCACTCAGTCTAGACAGCTAAGAGGACAACAATATTATGATTTATAAAGAAAACACAAACTTATTTCCAACAGAGACTGTAAAAATAACTTCATCACCATAACGGTTAGTGTTATTCTTCGGGAACATAAATGCTCTATAGAAATATAATTTATCCGTCACTGCTTCATATCGAGTTAAAATGTAACGTATTAAATATATTTTATCTATAACATGGGAAAATAGTAACAATTATGATAGTTCTTTAACAAACTTTCACCAGTAATAGGGAGTCGATTCTGTAAAGACGTATTGCAAAACGCTGAATATGAAGACTACTGGTAAAAAATTGATATTTTTAAACCATTCATAAACATGACTGACCAGCACCTGTGTATTGTCTAAAATTTAATAAATAATTAAAATCAGCGTTTCATATTTACACAATTTAAAAAATGATAAAATCGTGTAAATACGAAACGTTGATTTTAATTATTTATGGAATTTCAGATACGATTCAGTGGAAGTACTGACCCGTCATCTAACTTCTGACCATCTAAGTAAAACGTGTCTGAACATGTTCTTTAAAGAATTCAATAGGCAGTTGTACGGACAGGCTACCTGGAAAACACTGAACTTGAAGGACATAACGTCAACCAAACTCAATGTTTTCCAGTCTGCCAATCGAGAAACATATGGCACATACGAACTTAATGTTGACCATTACGCTGTCTTACCTAGTATAGCCATCACAACGTTATCTTTTAATATTTCTATTGTTCCTCTGGATATGAAGAATAACGCCGTTAACACATCTCCGCGATGTACTAAATTATCTCCAGAGGGCGCATGCGTCGTCTTAAATTTCATGGAAAGTGCTCGTAGACAGCCTGGAGGTGCACCTTTAAAGGCTGAAGTGTTTTCTAAGAGATTTCTGTTTAGGTGGAGACAGATGTCTGCTTGAAGACATTCAGGAAAACCCTTTAATACCTAGAGGAAATATATCAACCATCTCTCTTAGTTCATTAAATAGTCATTTGTTACAGTTAGTTGCGTATAGTTATTTATTATTAATCAAGACATTACGTTGAATTTAATGCAAAATTTGAACTACAATCCCCTGATATGGAAATACGTAATGGGCACGTTAAAATCAAAGTGGTAAAATTATTATCTGTGGTAACGTGCTGGTAGAGAACAGAAAATTAAACAAAATCGTCTTCATAAATGGTTTAGTTTAAATTTTAATTACCAGTAATTTAAAGAATAAACAGTTTTACGATACTAATGTAAGTGGTAATTGAAGGTCAACTGTTTGAAGGTCGTGATTGTAGGTGTAGTTTAAACAATGGATTTTAGAAGTTATGCTTGAAATAAACACTGCAAAACAAATAAAAACAATCATATTTTTCAGTTGATGAAGATATTAATCAGAATAAAAAATTTCAATCAAAGAGTTACGTTCTGTGTACTTAGGCTTAACAGCCAGGTGAGAGAACCTCGGAGTTCAGTTAGTTATAGCCGTGCCTAATTTTGAATTAATGACCAGAGGAAAGGGGGAACCAGTAACAGCCTTTGTTCAGCTCTTTGAACCAAATAAGGAGAATGCCTATCACTTTGATAACGCAGTCACAGCTCAAAGTATGGTTTGTTTGTTTGTTTCTGAATTTCGCGCAAAGCTACTTGAGGGCTATCTGCGCTAGCCGTCCCTCAT